CTCGGCTAAAACCACAGGAAAAAATTGTAACTGTACAAAGAAATAAATAAGAGAAGAATACATAAAATGTTATTATAATAATAAAAGACCATAACATACAGATACATCGATCTTAGACCAGAATATCGATCCCCTACCCATATTCATCCGGATTTATTTAAGCTTTACCAAGCTAAGTAAGAGTTGTGTCCCTTGGTCTGTCAAACTTCCGGTTTTCGTTTGAGTCGAACTACAGGTATCTCGAAATATTTCTCTGGTCCGGCTGACTTCCAGATAACGAGAGTCGACTGTATTTGCATTCAGGTATCACAGATCAAATTTATTCGTTCATTGTTTGTTAATTTACGTTTTTTGATTTGGTTAAGCCTTCCAATTGATATTTTATAGTGTGTCTTTCTATGTTGTGATGTTATACTATTGTTTCAGAAAAGGGAGAAGGTTTGGTACCATTAAAACGTTTAATCCCGCTGCAAATGTTTGCACCTGTCCTAAGTCAGGAATCTGATGTACAGTAGTTGTCGTCTGTTTATGTAGTTCATACATGTTTCTTGTTTCTCGTTTTTATATGGATTAGACCGTTGGTTTTCCCGTTTGAATGGTTTTAGACTAGTAATTTTTGGGGCCCTTTATAGCTTGCTGTTCGGTGTGAGCCAATGCTCCGTGTTGAAAGCCGTACCTTGACCTATAATGGTTTACTTTTATAAATTGTTACTTGGATGGAGAGTTGTCTCATTGGCACTCATACCACATCTTCCTATATCTATATCATATTTTGTTATTATTTTCAAGTTTAACACTTACATTATGTACATGTTATACTAAAAAGGAAAAAACGTATTTTAAGAAAAAAAATGCCAGGTAACTAAAAAGTTCTTGCATTCTGATCTTTTTGTGGAAATAAACAAGAGTTACTTCCCTTGTCACAATATATTTTTTTAGTCCATACATTTTCCTAATTTGCTTATTAAACTAATTCCATGATTTTTTTTTAATATGTCATTTAATCAGTGCTATTTTCAAGTAAGTTTTCCTCAAAACTGACAGAATAAAAAGGGGAGTTGGAAGTTACAGAAAAAAAGTGTATATCTTTACATTGATTACAGTGAAGTAGCTTCCATCAATTTCATTACATGATAAAGATTAGCAATTATCATGTATATCTTTATTAGCTATTGACAGGTTCCCATCTAATATGTTATCTACTAGATATTTTTCTTTTTTTCAGTTCCTTTTATTATTTATTATGTTTATACTTGTAATTTGAATTACATGTAACTTGTAAGTTTGGAATGTGCAGTTTTTTCCTCTCTGATTATTTTAAAATCACATGCATTTACAGCTGGATTTTTATTTTATCAAAATCATTTAGACTATCATGGAATTATTTTTCCGTTTCATAAAATATTAGAAGTTGAAGTTATTTATTTATGATATACAGGAAGTAACCATTTTGTCATTAGTCTGTTTCCTAAAGCCATTGGACATTAGATAAACAACAAACAATTAATCTTCCTAAAGCAACACAGTTGTCTCTAATAGCCTATATGTTGGTCTATATTTTGTTGTTCACTACAACGAATAAGTATTTCTGACGATTTCCTTAATAGCAATGAAAGGATTTATTATTTGTCACTCTATGGCCTGTAAACATGGTTATTTTGGTATGAAGGGTACAGGGGCTAGAACTATAAGTATCAATGGTTATCATGGTTTCTTCACTTGAATTGTCAGCTGGAATAGTCATTTCCATTCTGTAACACCTAATCTTAATGAGACAATTTCATTTAAACTTTCAGATAGTTTCCAAACCCAATCCAAACATCGCATTTGTTTTTGTTATCTTCTTGTCTTGCATCAGCTACAATATGACAGTTTAATTTTGCTGTAAGACCAGATGCAAGAAAATAATCATTCCATACAATGTTACTTCTTATATTTTGTTTTCGATCTTCTACACGAAGGACTAGATCTACAATTAAAATTCTGTAACAGAATAGTTATACTGCATCAGTGCATGCATTTTCACTAACAATGAAGGATTTTTTTCTAATGAGGTACCGGTAACGTTGATCTGTATTTAATAATGGTCCACAATGTAGACAAAGAAGATCAATGGAATATTGTTTATGACTTCTCCAGCTCTTTGAATTTTGATAGGTCTTATTACACTATTGAATTTAAACTTGAACATTTGTTGGAAGTTATAGACCTTATTTTGATTTTGCTAAAAAACTGTCTTCTAAGCATTTTCTTACATGTACTTTAATTTAATGTATAATGTTGAAAATTAGTTTTCCAAATGCACATTTTGGATATGTGGATTGAGATGTACCCAAGTGTTTCAAACATGTACAATAACATCTATACTGTTTCCACAGCCCTTAGAAATTCAAAGTTCGATTTATCAGGATTTCAGCAAACATAAGCATAATATAAACTTTATAAAATTAGAGCCTATTGAAACTTTCCAGAGACAACCAGGACAATCACATAAATAATTTGAAGATTCTATGAGGGTTCATGTATCATTACAGCTTTTTTACACCATAGGCTGCAGATAACTGATATTATTAAACTTGAAGATAATTGAACGCATTATCTAAAAATGAAGGATATACTTAAATCATCATATTACCTGATAAATTATTGATATTGAAATTCAATATATACATGCATGACATGTAGAAGCGTAAAAAATCAATCTGTTCCAATTATTTATTAAATTGAACATTGTCAATTGTAGAATTGTTTTGAAGATATCATCACTAGAAGTTACCATCTAAACATTCCACATATTTATAAGGTAATATTAGATTCTCAAGTTCGAATTGCAACCCATCTTTTAGCCTTTGAAAGATATAAATAATAACTCAGACTTTTTAACAGCTAAGTCTTTACAAGGGAACAAAATAAAATGATACTAATAAGGAAATTACCAGCCAGTAATAAGAAAAGTACAGACAACATCATGGCCAAACTTATAAAATAAATAAAAGAGAGTCAAAACAATAGTCAATAAAAGCACTAGATATTAATAACTGAGCAACATAACTATGAACTAGGTATGAAATCAGTTGCACTACTGGTGAACTCTACAATGCACTGTCACATATCCAAATGCTCATAAAACTTGAAACCATCTCATACTATCCTGTGTTTTAGTTGAATCATTGGGTTACAAAACTTATACGGTTGCATTGATATACTATGCATTAGCTACATTTTCTTTTTATTCAAATTATCAAAATGCTTTGAAGCTGAGGTACATATAATTCAAACATTTCTAAATAAATGATGAACTAATTGCTTCATAGAAGCCTTGTGATTTTGGGGTTAAAAGAAAGGTCACACTTGCTTTTGATAAACTGAAATTTGGGCAGAATTTTGAATTCCAGATAATTTATCGAACAATACATCCAACTTTTACCTAACTTGGTTTGATAATGCCTCATGGGATGAAAATTTTGATTTTTAGGTCAATAGGTCAAGGTCACAGCAGCAATATTGTAGACTGAAATTGGGTCAAGCAATATGATTTCGGCCTGATTTCTTTTTATTTACCTTCACCTAACAAAAGTTTAAAATGTCCCTAACGAAGAAAAAGTGGCCTTGTGATTTTGAGGTAAGTAGGTCAACTGTCAAGTTCATAAAATTTGAAATGAACAGAAATTACAGGAACATTTTTGTAAATACATAAATATATAAATATTTATACACAACACATTTTTAAAGAAAACTTTTATTACATGTATATAACATACTTATTCTAAACATCATTATCCAAATTAGATACCATTACATAACAATAAACATTTCTATAACTTAAAATGTTCACATTATTGGCTTTCTTGGGACTACTCATTCATTGTAAAATTTAACCTTTGAATTTTTTAAACCTAATAAAATACATGTAAATGAAAATGCCTAATGGTCAAAATTATGTAAATACTTGTACACATAAATACATAACACAGATGGGGAGATCCCTGCATCAAACTTTAATAACTGTATGAAATGTCACCTGGGGAGATCCCGGCAGGTGTGAGCTACTTGACTAGAGAAATTACCGACCTGGCAGGAATTAACCCATCTGATGTATTATTGAATTGGGGGAGTATAATTCCCCTTGAATTATAAAGGCCAAATGAATGAATTCATAATGATGAATGAGTGAAAGCCCCCAAGAAATAATGCCATATAAAAATATAAATTAGTTATATCTGAGACTACTATATTTTGTGTTATAGTAGTCTCAGGTTATATGAAAACTATGACAAAGACTCAAAGATACATTTTTCATGATCTTTACAAATAACCTTCTTGTCAATCCTGATGTATTGTCAGCAGAATTTGCAATTTCTTCATCACCGAAAATAAAAAATTTCCCACTTTAAATCCATAAAGATTGCAACTCAGCTTATGCACCCAGTGGGCAACTGATTTTTTTTTCTTTGAAAACATATTTGTAATGTTTGATTGACATGTTTTTCCAGACATTTAGAATGTTTGTGAGAGCTGACTTGTTGTTAGGGTTGATGGAAATTAATTTCCTTTCAGATAGAGGGTTATTTTGTCATTGATGGGAAGGAGTATATATCATACACTTGAACATGTCATGGTTGTTTATTCCATATGTATGAATTACATTTTGACCAGAAATGTTTTATGCAATGTTTGTTATTCTGTATGAAATGTTGACAATGCCTGAGTTTATTAGAAAAAGCTATTTTCCTCATAAGCAATTCAAATTATTCAAACCATAAACATTTAAAGATTTATTAAACTGTCAAGGTCTTTTATTTGAATTTTTTTCCCATCAATTAATGATTTCACATAGAAAGTCACCAAATAGTATTTAAATAAATGAATACAATAGTTCATGAAAAAATGGATTTTTCCAAAGGATTTCTCTATGCCCATTAATTTTAAATTCTGAAGGGACTCCAATTTCATAAATTGTCAATAATATTCTTTTATACTGCTTTAGGTATTACCTATAGTAAATTAATTTTATATGCCTGTGATATAATGAAAGAAGAAGGAGAATTGCATTATATGAGTAAGTTATCATTAAGAATAAAAAATACATATATCTTGAAAATGGGAAAAAACTTATTTTCCTTGTTGTAAAAAGTATTTGTTGTATTGTAGATATGAAGTACTATTAGGTGTAGACATGTTGAACTTCTGACGATGGTAAGTACACTTATAAACACAATAGTTAAGTCAGAGTTATACAATGTATGTTAGTTTTACTTTCATTTTATATCTTGTATTATGTGGGAAATTTTGGTATGATTTACATAGACAAAAGGGTGGATGTTTAATGCTCAGTAAGCAATTTCCAACTGCAATCAGGTCAAAAAGTTTGATATAGAATAAAAAATATGAACCAAGTTTTGTCTCGCCTGCAAAGAAAGTAGCAGAATATGAGACATAGCGACGCTTATTCTGTGGTGATGGCGTACTCTATTTGATATATAAATTTTAAAGCTTTATATCTCGGATGCTTCATACCTTGGTTATAGATGACTCATTTTAGGATTTTTCTGTCTGTCAAATGTCCATTGTTCTTTATCTCATTTTTATACGACCGCAAAAAAATTTTGTGGTCGTATATTGGTATGACGTTGGCGTCGTCGTCGTCCGGCGTCGTCGTCCGAATACATATTGGTTTTCGCACTCTAACTTTAGTTTAAGTGAATGGATCTTTTTGAAATTTGACCATAAGGTTAAATACCACAAAAGGAAGGTTGGGATTGATTTTGGGGGTTATGGTACCAACAGTTAAGGAATTAGGGGCCAAAAAGGGGCCAAAAATGAGCATTTTCTAGTTTCCAGACAATAACTGTGGAACGGTGTATGGATCTCTCTGAAATTATACTACAAGTTTCCATACCACAAAGGGATGGTTAGGATTTGCTTTGGGGGGTTATGGCTCAAACCGTTTAGGAATTAGGGGCAAAAAAGGGGGAAAAACAAGGTTGTCCTGGTTAATGGACAAATACTTTAGTACAAAACATAATTTAAAGCAGTGTAAGGGAGATAAATCAAATACATCATTGAAATTATCTCCCTTACACTGCTTTTAAATTATGTATAAAGTAATGGTTAATGAACAATAAAGATAATCTAAAACAGTGTAAGGGAGGTAATCCAAATACAACGTTTTGGTTACTTCCCTTACACTGCTTTTAAATTATGTTTAAAGAAATGCATATTTATAAAGGAAGACCAGTAAAAATATCTGCAAATGTTTTCATCTTTTTTTTTTACAAAAAAATCCATATGAAAGATTTGACACTATATTTTTATTAATTCTATTATAAAATAGATTAAGTTAGCACTATGGTAAATTTAGATGGGTAATTATGGTTGCCAACTCCATTGGAAATTTGAATTGAGATTATGACCATATCTTGAGGGAAAGAATTTTTTTGGGGAAAAAAGGGGGGGGGGATAAAAAGAAATTGTGGGGGGCCAATTTTTTCTCATTTCAGATTTCAGAAATTAAAAAGAATTATTCTTCAAATATTTTTTAATTGCACAGTATGGCGCATTAGATTTGTAAAATCTTTGATCACATTTATTTATTTGTTATGCCGAATCTAACAGTGTATTTAGATTTTTAATTTTGGGTCCAGTTTTCAAATTGGTCTACATTAATGTCCAAAGGGTCCAAAATTAAACTTTGTTTGATTTTAGCAAAAATTGAATATATGAGGTTCTTTGATATGCTGAATCTAAACATGTATTTAGATTTTTGATTTTTGGCCCAGTTTTCAAGTTGGTCCAAATTGGGGTCCAAAATTAAACTTTGTTTGATTTCAACAAAAATTGAATATATGGGGTTCTTTGATATGCTGAATCTAACCATGTATTTAGATTTTTTATTTGTGGACCCCGTTATCTAATTGGTTCATATTGAGGTCAAAAGGGTCCAAAATTAAACTTTGTTTGATTTCATCTAAAATTGAATTATTGGGGTTCTTTGATATTCCAAATCTAACCGTGTATTTAGGTTTTTAATTTTGGGTCCTGTTTTTTAAATTGGTCTACATTGAGGTCCAAAGGGTCCAAAATTAAACTTAGTTTGATTTTAACAAAAATTGAATTCTTGGGGTTCTTTGATTTGCTGAATCTAAACATGTGTTTAGATTTTTGATTATGGGCCCAGTTTTCAAGTTGGTCCAAGATAGGGTCCAGTATTTAAACTTTGTTTGATTTCAACAAAAATTGAATATATGGGGTTCTTTGATATGCTGAATCTAAACATGTATTTAGATTTTTGATTATGGGCCCAGTTTTCAAGTTGGTCCAAATTGGGGTCCAAAATTAAACTTTGTTTGATTTCAACAAAAATTGAATATATGAGGTTCTTTTATATGCTGAATCTAACCATGTATTTAGATTTTTTATTTGTAGGCCCCGCTATCAAATTGGTTCATATTGAGGTCAAAAGGGTCCAAAATTAAACTTTGTTTGATTTCATCGAAAATTGAATTATTGGGGTTCTTTGATATGCCAAATCTAACCGTGTTTTTAGATTTTTAATTTGGGTCCCGTTTTTTAAATTGGTCTTCATTGAGGTCCAAAGGGTCCAAAATTAAACTTAGTTTGATTTTAACAAAAATTGAATTCTTGGGGTTCTTTGATATGCTGAATCTAAACATGTGTTTAGATTTTTGATTATGGGCCCAGTTTTCAAGTTGGTCCAAGTTGGGGTCCAAAATTAAACTTTTTTTGATTTCAACAAAAATTGAATATATGGGGTTCTGTGATATGCTGAATCTAACCATGAATTTAGATTTTTTATTTGTGGGCCCCGCTATCAAATTGGTTCATATTGAGGTCAAAAGGGTCCAAAATTAAACTTTGTTTGATTTCATCAAAAATTGAATTATTGGGGTTCTTTGATATTCCAAATCTAACCGTGTATTTAGATTTTTAATTTTAAGTCCCGTTTTTTAAATTGGTCTACATTAAGGTCCAAAGGGTCCAAAATTAAACTTAGTTTGATTTTAGCAAAAATTGAATTCTTGGGGTTCTTTGATATGCTGAATCTAAACATGTGTTTAGATTTTTGATTATGGGCCCAGTTTTCAAGTTTGTCCAAGTTGGGGTCCAAAATTAAACTTTGTTTGATTTTAACAAAAATTGAATATATGGGGTTTTTTGATATGCTGAATCTAACCATGTATTTTGATTTTGGACATTGGACCATAATAGGTAAATTAAAAAAATTCAAGTTCTTAGACCACATTCTTTCTGTGTCAGAAACCTATGCTGTGTCAAATATTTAATAACAATCCAAATTCAGAGCTGTATCAAGCTTGAATGTTGTGTCCATACTTGCCCCAACTGTTCAGGGTTCGACCTCTGCGGTCGTATCAAGCTGCGCCCCAGCGAAGCATTTTATTAAGTTTAAGTGCCTGCTTAAAAATCTGTATAGTTTTTTCGTCATGTTAATTTCTCACTTAACATGAGTAAAATAGGATATCTATAATTGGTAGTTTCAATGGGTCTTTGCAAGGTCTACATGTCTGTCAGACAGGGTTCATGTATATCAAGTTATACATGTATGACAAGTATTTCCAGTTGATCTCCATTGAAGGAAATAACTTGTTTTCCAAAAAAACTTTGTATGTGTCACAACAGTAAACATTTGACATCAATGACAAAAAGTGATTTCTGTATATGTCCTTACTAGGTCAACTGCATCAAAATTAAGATGCTTGTGGTAAAGTCCTAGAACTGGAAATTGATGTAAATTAGCTTCCCTGAGTTTATAATACAAAGTTATAGAGATAATGTAATTAGTTGATAAAGTTGAAGTAAACAATGACTAACCAGACCAATTTCAAAGTATAAGTTATTTGATTTTGAATGAATTAGTATTCTGTGACATGTTTATAGAACAAAGTAGCCTTTTCCATAGCATATGTCTGGTGACAGATATTTTGTACAGTTCAGTCTTTAGGTTGATATATAAGGAAACTTGCAATATTACACTGATAGCATGTCCAACAGAATAGGCATTATAAACAAATTTGTGCTGCAGCTTCTTGACTATATATCATATGTTGTGTCTGTAACAAGTCAGCCTATCTCTACTATGTGTCGTTTGTTGTTGTTTGTTGTTATTTGTCTATTGGAGGAGTGATCAGTTGTTGGTTGTTGTGGTTTGTTGTATTGTCCAATACTTTTGGTAATTCCTGTCATACTTTTTATGTATTACTTCATTTTTGAAACATTTGAATCAAGAACAAAACAATTTCACAATAATTATAGAATATAACAGTACCAGTCATTAATATGATGGCATACATTATTAGCCAGGATTTTAATCATGCTTAAGAGATTCCAGTAGAACCATATTGAAGGTCATAATTATTTTTTCACTGAAACTACTAGATTAGTTTGTACAAAACTTGGCAAGATTAATATATTGACAATTGTTTTTATAATTTCGGTGTAGCAAAATCCCCAATCAAAGCATCAGGGATTTGAAACTACGATCAGATCTTGAGACATACTCTACTGTTTTGATTGATAAAAGACATGCTTCACTGATTTTGATTGATAATTGTCATATTTCTTCTGCTTTTAAAGCTTTTCTAACTTTATAGGAAGAAGTTTTACCAAGCTTTCTCATTTTAAGCTAATTAAACGTAGCAGCTATTAAGGGAATATAGACTCCAAATCCATTTAACCCAATGGGAAAGATATAATTGAGCAAGCGAGCATAATAAGTTTTTTTCATTTTCTTTTTGTTAGATATTTATAATTCTCTGTGAGGTCAACATTTAACAATAACAAATCTTTCATTCGTCTTATTTTTAGCAAGAATCCATATTCATTGCTAATTAATTAGAATATTTAGCAGAAATGAAAACTTCCAAATGAAGAACATTCAGACATTATAAATGAATAATATATAACTGCTTACATAGCACTTTTTACAACTTACCTTCAGACGTCACTATTGCATGGCCAGAAATAGTTTAGATGAACTAAATACTGTAAATTTAGAAATTAATGCATGCATTTATTATTGCGAATCCTTGACTACAAGGAAAAATGCGAAATCTGAGTAACAGAATTACAAAAATTTTATGAAGAAAAATCACTACTCAAATTATAAATTTGAAATTTTTATAACTGTGAACCTGATACCAGTCGCGTTTTTCGCATTAATTAAAACATTGCAATAATTTCTGAATTTACCATAATATTTTATTTGATTATTGTTGAAGGCTGTAAGGTGACCTGTAGTTGATCCCATCCACATCCTTTGGTATTTGGTGGATAGTTGTCTCTTTGGCAATCATAATGCATCTCTTTAATATAATAATGGTATCATGTTCAATGTATCAATAATACTATTATCCAATGATAATACTGTCTTCATATATCTCATTCAGGGTATAATAAAATTGAGAATGGAAACGGGGAATGTGTCAAAGAGACAACAATCGGACCAAAGAGCAGGAAACAGCCCAAGGCCACCAATAGGTCTTCAATACAGCGAAAATCCTGCACCCGGAGGCAGGCTTCAGCTGGCCCCTAAACAATAATGTATACTGATTTCATTCCGTCCTTCTGTCTGTAATCACTTTGTTGTACTCATGCTGGCATCTGCAATTTTTGTCAGATCCTCTTCAAATTTGATTGAAGGTTCCCAGTCATCAAAATCACTGACGAGTTTAATAATCAGAAAAATCCAAAGTGGGGATTCCTTTTTTTCTGGAGGGGGACTAGTAAAAATATCCTTATAACTTCTTGATGCCATTATTACACCGTCATTTCTTATAAATGTCTCTTTAGACTCATTCAAAGATATCTGCTCATCAATACCTTAAATGAGTTTTATTTTCAGAAAAATATTAAATGGGAGAACAAATTTTTTTCGGAAGGGGGACTTTGAAAACCTCCCATATAAATTATGGTCGCCTGGCAAGTGTCTAAATTACAGAGTAATGCAAATGTCTGTTCTTCTGGCATCAGAAAGGACTGAAAAAATAGCTTATTACTTTGTGCTATTACACAACTGTCCCAGGTTAGGAGATAATGCAGCACTCACAAACACGTTTAACACTGCCACATTTTTTATTTGCCTGTCCGTAGTCAGGAGCCTGTAATATAGTGGTTGTCTTCTCACTCTTCTGTTGATTGTTGTCTGCCACATTTTTTATTTGCCTGTCATTAGTCAGGAGCCTCTAATATAGTGGTTGTCTTCTCACTCTTCTGTTGATTGTTGTCTGCCACATTTTTTATTTGCCTGTCCTTAGTCAGGAGCCTGTAATATAGTGGTTGTCTTCTGTTGATTGTTGTCTGCCACATTTTTTATTTGCCTGTCATTAGTCAGGAGCCTCTAATATAGTGGTTGTCTTCTCACTCTTCTGTTGATTGTTGTCTGCCACATTTTTTATTTGCCTGTCCTTAGTCAGGAGCCTGTTATATAGTGGTTGTCTTCTGTTGATTGTTGTCTGCCACACTTGGTGTTTGTTTTTTGTTTATTGTTTATTGTTTTTAACATAAACCAGGCTGTTGGTTTTCTCTAATGAATGGTTTTACATTTCGTCATACTGGGGCCATGTATAGCTTTATATAAGGTATTAGTTTTAGTCATTGTTGATGGCCATACAGTACGTGACCTACAGTTGCTTAGGTAGATCCTTGTCATTTGGTTACTGATCGCAGATTGATGTCTCATTGGCAATCATACCAAATATACATGCATCTTATTTTTATATAAAAATTGCAGCAATTTTATAGGTTATATATATACTAGTACATACTGGAGACAATAATTTCAAATATTAACCTCCCTAATGATTAAGATTTTTGTTGTCCTATAATTCACTGAAAATGAATTGTGTATTGGGAAAATAGGTATCAAAATGTGATTAATCTCACAGTAGTTAACTTCACCATAATCAGTGTCTGGGATATTGATAAAAATATTGGATATTGAGAAAGTAATGTCATCAACTTGCTATAATCATTATCAATTCTAATCAATGTTTAGGGGGACTTAATTACTTTATTTCAGCTAAGACATACAGGTGGCTTGATACCTGCAAAGCTGAAATTCATGTATCAGGGTCAATGATTTACCGAAAGGTTTTTTAAGGGATTGAATTTTTATGTAGCAACAGTTGTCCAGAAATCAAATCACTTATACCTACACCATTAGTGATCCAGTGATTGCCTCAGCCAACAGAGGAAGATGATACAAATAAGATTATAAGGTGAGTAAATAGTTTATTAATCACAGGAGAGAAAATTGATCATTACAGAAATTAATTAGAAAGACCTAATTTCCCGATTTTAATGGAGTAGAAGTCTCAGATGCATTACTTCCAAATGAAAATCTGTAATTTTATTATTTTGTTTTCTAATCACAGAAATGAATCTTAAAAAAAATGAATAAAAAAATTCATTTAATGAGTATTTATCCATCATCAAATAACTCCACTATCCTTAGGTCGTGATTCTGTGCATGATTTGTTTACGATTGTAGGATTATGATGAAACATGAACTTGCATGTCTTATATTGATTTAAAACAACTTATGAATGAGCTGATATTGGATGACGGCATTATTGATAGGTCAGATTTTTTTAAGAAGTAAATGAAGAGGTAGGGAAAAAAGTTGTTTGTCCTCATGTTGATGGGGACATAGAAATACCTGACGGATGGATGGACAGACGCCCTGTATTGTAAGCACTCTTACATTTAAAATTCTTGTCAAATCTGTATGAAATTTATATCAAAGGTTTAAATCAGCAATGCCTTGGTCAAGTTCAGTCAATCAGTTGCAATCAACTATTTTTAAAAGAGTTATGTCCCTTGGAAATATTAATTATATTGAAAATTTGCATTGAAAGCACTCTCAAGCCTACATTTTGTGTAGGATTGTTATGAAATTTATATTAAAGGTTTATTTCAACATTGTATGGGACGAGTTTGAAAATCAGCTTGTATCAAATATTTTAACAGGCAATATGTCCATTTGAAATGTAAATTCTATAGAAAATTGCATTGTAAGCATTCTCATGTGTTCAATTCTTGCCAGATATTTAAGAAATTTAAATCAAAGTATTATATCAGAAATGTCTTTGACAAGATTTAAAATCCATGCAGAAACAACCAATTTAAAAAGAGTTATTCCTCTATGAAATATTTATTATATAGAAAATTGCATTGTAACACACTCTCACACCTACATTTTTTGTCAAATTTGTCTAAAGTTTATGACAAAGGCTTATATCAGTAAGGTCTTGGAAGAGTGCCATCCAAGTATTTTCCTTTGAAAATAGATTTACTGTAAAAGCAGAAATTTTCGTGGAGGATTTAATTTCGTTTATTTCGTGGAAAGAATAAATCCACGAAATTAAAACCCCCACGGAAATTTAACCTACATATAATATCACTTCCATTTAATGGAAACCACGAAATTAAATCCCCATGAAATTTTATATAGAGACAAAACCACGAAATTTTAACCCCACGAAAATTAATGTTTCTACAGTATATGGAAAATAACATTGTAAGTGATCTCATGCCAAATATTTATTACTGTGACTTGATTGTTAGTGTTGCTCTCCACCTATTGCAACTTATTCAAAATTCTGAACAAATTGCAATTTATTTATAAAACCAAACTGTTCAACTGGTCAGATATTTGAACAAACTGCTGTAGAAAACCACAGTCAAGTCGTGAAAGTGCAAGGTGATAAAATAATGCATACTTACAATCCTATAACACTTTTTAAAATTCACTTCAATATTATTATGAAAAATCAGTCTAAGAGTTTGCAATTACAAATCTAGATGTTATTGTCATGCTAAAGGTGATAGATAGTAATTTTGAATTGCTATAAAAATGTCCGAACTAAGCTTTCATACAATTTTTCTTTCGAAAAGTCTTCTATATTCATAAGAATCAGACATCATTTGAATTAAAACATTTTATATTCAGTAAAATATGTGTAAAATTACAATACGTTGTTATGAAGTTTCCATGGGAGATAATCAATTTTTCTTTTGAAAAGTCTTCTATATTCAAAAGAATAATGTTTGAGGTTATCTCCCATGGAAACTTATTCACAACGTATTGTAATTTCACATATATTTTACTGAATATAAGATGTTTCAATTCAAATGATGTCTGGTTCTTATGAATATAGAAGACTTTTTCAAAAGAAAAATTGTATGAAAACTTAGTTTGGACATTTTTATAGCAATTCAAAATTACTACCTATCACCTTTAGCATGACAATAACAATAAAATTGCTATACAAACTGTTAGACTGATTTTTCATAATATCATTGCAGTGGAATTAAAGTCTTATAAGATTGTAAGTATGCTTTATTTTATTACCTTGCACATTCACCACTTGACTGTTTTTCTACAACAACTTGTTAAAATTTCTGACCAGTTGAACAATTTGGTTTTATAAAACAAATAACAATTTGGTCAAAATTTTGAATTTATTGCAGTAGGTGGAGAGCAATACTTACAGTCAAGTCACAGTAACTTGAAAGGATGTTAGTATGAAGTGAGTGCAATGAAATAAAAAGTAATACATGGCATCCAGCTCCAGTTAGTTGATCTCTATGTCATGAACTTTAAACAAAATACTGACTTACTATAAAAGAAGATACCAGAGGGACAGTCAAACTCATAGATCGAAAAGGGAAGGGTATTGTAGTTACGACATAAGGAACATATCCGATATCATCTGTGAAACGGTTATTCCATAACGGTCAACCAACTCGTGATGGTGTCCGTAAAATTTACGAAGGGATGATTTCAACTTCACCATTTGGAACTCTTGGTTTAATAGCCTCCTTGTGAGCAGCAATCCTCTATCAAGGAAATCATGATAGGAAATACAAGCCCGGGAATATCGTATCAATTGGGAGATATATATTCTGTATGTAGCCGCTGCTGGAATGTTGCTGCATAGAAATGGAAAGTTCACAATTGAGAACCTGAAATCATCTCTTTTGTGTAAAGTTTTGTTTTCAACCGACCCTCATTGTCAATTTCTAGATGTAAGTCAAGATATGAGGCAGACTTAACTGTATCTGTAGTATCCTTTATCTCTAGTTCGATGGGATAGATTCGTTCAACATAGTCACCAAATTTTGTATTATTTAGTGAGAGAACATCGTCTATATAGTGGAACGTAAAGTTAAAGGATATTGCTAACTTCTTATCTTTCTGCCTAAGAAGTTCCTGTATGAAGTCAGCCTCATAATAATAAAGAAACAAGTCAGCAAGAAGAGGGGCACAATTGGTTCCCATTGGAATTCCAACAGTCTGTTGAAAAACACGTCCTCCAAACGTAACAAATATGTTGTCAATCAAGAAATCAAGCATCTTGATAATGTCAGTTTCAGAGAATTTTTTGTTTGAATCAGAGTGATTCTTTACAAAGTAGGATTTATCCCTCCCCAAGACAAGATACTTGTATCTACGTTCGCCATTCTCTTTAATGAAACAAAGTAATACCAACTCTTTCAATTTGTCTTTTAGTTTGGAATGGGGAATACTTGTGTAAAGTGTAGAAAAATCAAATGTTTTAATACTATCGCAAGATGAGAGAGTCTTAGATTGTATGTACTCTAAAAGATCTTTGGAATTTTTTATAATATGAGTCACTGGTTTAAAAAGGTCTAACCTTGACATAAAAACTTCTATCCTAAATAAATTTTATAAATAAATAGTTCAAAACATTTTTTTGTAGGTCAATTATTTATAGCTTTGTTTTCTAAGAGGAAGTTATTGTGTAATTGTGATTTGGATAATATTTTCTATAAGAATTACTGATCTGCTGGCATTAAAGGGAAATAATTTTATTGAGTCATTGTATATTAAAAATTTAATCAAAGATCCAGGTTTATAATTTTGCCTACAAAGGATTCATAAATACGACTCAAATGAAAAAAAATTGAAATGTCAAATTTGTATGAAGTTGAAGAGCATTGAGGACACAAAATTCCGAAAGGTTCTGCCAAATACTGCTTATAAGTAATCTAATCCTCGTGGTAGAAAATCATTAGTACTTTGAACAATCCAAAGTTTTGCAAGACAGTTAATCTATAATTTTCACCACATCAATGATAATTCATGTCAACACAGAACTGCTGACTACTAGGCTGGTGATACCTTCTTAATTTACAGAGGAATCTGTATGATTTATAGAACTTTGAATGTGTTCCATAATATGTTTTTAACAGTTTTTTTCAAAATTTTAATCATCTTAAAAATAAATTTCAGTGTTCTTTTCAGAACAGGGGATAATAGTTAAATATCTGGAAATAATGTTACAAACAAATTACTTATAAAATGAAGGAAGTTCATATTTGACAACAAAATTTTGCTGATTTTACAGTAATGTTAATTATTTCCCTTTAATATTAGCAGATTAGTAATTGCTTTAGAAAAAATTATCCAAATTACAATTACGCACTAACTTGCTGTTAGGAAACAGAGCTAAAAATTAAATCAGTGACTCATATTATAGTAAGTCATTATTGTGTTTGAAATTGAGGACATAGACATCAACTAACTAGAGCTGGATGGTAAGTATTACTTTTTATTTCACTGCACTCACTAAATTCTTACAACCTTCACTGAAGCAATTTGTTAAAATATTTTACCATTTGTTCAGTTTGTTGGAGAAGAATTCAAACTGCAATTTGGTAAACTGCTTTAGCCATTGTTATTGAGATACCCCAAACCCCACTGAATAAGGACAGTAAAAGAAATTTTTTTTTTTAGCATTACCCGTGAACAGATAAAATGAGTGCAACTCAGGGGACACTGAAACTCTGTTCTTTTATAACCATAGGTTTGTAAATCTGTTATTGTTATAACATTTGTTTTTAAAAAAATCATCTGTTAAAAACAAAAGGGGTGGGTTGAGTATTCACAAATTTTGTTTCAACCCTGCAACATATTTTATGAGTCTGTACAAAGTCTGGAATATTATCAAAGGTTGTTTGTTTATGTGTGTTGTCTCATTAAGTGATAATTTAGAGATCTCTGCCATCTTAGAGATTTCTACCATCTCTTTTGAATCCACCAAGATGATGTTCTGGCTTTAAAGTGATTGTCCGGCATTGAATAAGAAGATTATCAATTTGATTGATTAGTCATTCTACTGTGTATTATCCAACCATATGTATGATACAAATGATCGTTTTTATTGTAAATTTCCTTGATAGAATTACCTAA